GTTTTCTACTACTTGAAGCAGTCCTTCAGCTGTTTTTGCTCTCAGTATGTATATTTAATAGGTTCTAGTTTTTTGCTCAGACCAGTCTGGACTGCCATTATCCCATTTATGCTACCTGAATGGATGAGATGATAGGTGCATACCACCATATCAGCTTTTGGTATCGATTGAGATGAGGTTTCACTAAAATTTGCCAAGAGTGACCTCCAACCCCCAATATTCCACATTTTAACTATCCAAGTAGCTAGGATTACAAGTGTACATATAGCTACCAAGTTTTATATTCACTCGTTATAACTCAAAAGGGGATAATAACTAGAATTCTAGTTAAAATAGTCTTAAGAAAGAATTGTAACTGACCAACTTAGTATCACAGATGGAATTGTAATGAGGGTTTCGAAATAGCTTGGCTCATATTGAACTCCCTGAACCAACGAGATGGAGCAGTAAAATGGCTATAAGAAAATTTGAATACTCAAAAAGCCACCAACCAGGAAGAAAACAAATCCAAAAATAACACAAGTTCTATCCCCAGAACATGGGCAATCATGGTAAAAGGCATCACATATGAGAAGGATGGTGTTTCAATCATGTTGAATTTGAGACTCCATGGCGAGCTAGAAGGAAGTCAAGGAAATATGTCTAGTTGAAATGGTTGTTCAAGTCTGTAAAGGACAGTTCATGCATTTCATTTTTCTAAAACAGATTTTCTCAAATGATAAATTTCAAAGTCTCTGTATACTTTTACCTCAAGATTGCATAGATCTCTAATAAGAATAAATTTCAGTTGTTTCTCAGATATCTAATGGGAGATATTTAGTAAGCTATAAAAAGTGTGGTTGTGCTGGTAGCTTTAGTGTGGCCTTGCTTGTGGTCTATTGTATAAATGCCCAGGAGTAGGATTGCTGGGTCATAGGGAAGCTCTATGTTTAGTCTTTTGATGAACCTCCATATTGTTTTCCAGAGTAGTTGGACAAGTTTACATTCCCACCAACAATGTAGTAACTTCCCTTTGGACAGATCCTCTTCAGGATCTGTTATTATTTACTTTTTTGATAATGGCCATTCTAACTGGAATGAGGTGGAAACTTAATGTTGTTTTGATTTGAAATTCTTTTATGGTCAGATATGTTGAATATTTCTTCATGTGTCCATTGGACATTCTTACTTCTTCTGAGATGTCTGAGTCCTTAGCCAATTTATTAATAGTGTTGTTATTTTTTGAGGGTTTATTTGGGGGGTTAAATTTTTGAGCTCTAAGTATATTTTAGATATGAGGCCTTTGTCTGATGCATAGTTAGTAAAAATCTTCTCCTATTCTGTGGGTTTTCTACTTATGAAATGAACTCCAAGCCAGGCACCGGTGGCTCATGCCAATAATCCTAGCTACTTAGGAGGCTGAGATCTGAGGATAATGGTTCAAAGCCAACTCTGGGCAGGAAAACCCATGAGACTCATCTCCAATTAACCACCAGAAAACCAGAAGTGGCGCTATGGTTCAAGTGGTAGAGCGCTCGCCTTGAGCTGAAGAGTGCAGGGACAGTGCCCAGGCCCAGAGTTCAAGCCCCATGACTGACAAAAAAAAAAAAAACCTCCAAGAAATGGAAACAAAGAGTTTTTGTTATTTTCTCTATCTCCCTCTCTCTCTTCTTTCCCTCCCTCCCTCCCTTCATCCCTCCTTTCCCCCTTTCTCTCCTTTCCTTCTCTCTTTTGTCAGTCATGGCGCTTGAACTTTGAGCCACTCTCTCCCTCCCTCCCTCCTTTTCTCCTTCTCTCCCTCTCTTTGTCTGTCTCTCTGTGTTTATCTCTCTGTCTCTCTCCGTCTCTCTCTGTCTCTCTCTGTCTGTCTCTCTCTGTCTCACTGTCTCTCTGTCTCTTTTTTTCTCTCTCTCTCTCTCTCTCGTCAGTCCTGGGGCTTGAACTCTGAGCCACAGCACTACTTCCAGTTTTCTGGTGGTTAATTCAAGATAAGAGACCCATGGACTTCCTGTGCCCTGGCTGGCTTTGAACCACAATTCTCAGATCTCAGCCTCCTGAGTAGCTAGGATTACAGGCATGAGCTACCAGCACCCAGCTCTGTTTTTCATTTCTATACCTTTGTCTTGTATGTAAGTTTATCTGTTTTGGAGAGGGTAAGGTGAGCACAGAAATGGTGGGACAAAGGGTGAATAAATTCAGCAGTAATACTTACTAAACATTGTTACAAATAAACTATACAACTTGTGAGGGAGGGATATTGGGAGGGAAAACTGGGAAGAGGTGACACAGTTCAAAAGAAATGTACTCATTACCTGCCTTATGTTACTGTAACCCCTTCGCTATATCACCTTTACAAATACAAAAATACTTTATAAAAGAAAAATGGGACCAGATTTTAGAAAATAATCCAGAAACTCCTAAATTAAAGTATCAGAAATAAATAGAAAAACCTTCCAGGGAAATGGATGGAGAAGTTTTTAAAGTACTTGGAAAAGACCAGAAAAGATTGTAGCATTTTGGAAGCCTTATGAATAAAAAACATCAAGGAGAAGTGAAAAAAACTCAATGGCAGATGTTGCAAAAGGGTCACATAAATCACACAGAGGATTAACCACTGGACCTGGCAACACATCATCCTTTGGTGTTTTTGACAGCTCATGGAGTGATGGTAACAAAATGAATGATAACTTAGAAATGACTTTCAACAGCAAAGACATAAATTAGATAGGACATTGCTCTGAAAGCTAGAGTAATTCCAAAACATGGAACATATTAGAACTTTGACACTTCCATATGTATAATGTCCAGTAAGTAACATCCTTACCTTATACATACCTACTCAAATATTTTACCTAAGGGAAATAACTAGGAGGTTGCAAGATTATTGATAAATTAAGCACTCCTCATGTTGTTTTAATTTTTTTCCAAAATGTCTGAGTCTTGGATAAAGCTTCTTTTTTTAAACTAGAAGATCAGACTAATCTTTAAATCAGTAAAGAACAAAATAACTGTAGACAAAACCCGAAGAAACTACATTTTATCCATATTAGATTTGTTGTCTGTGTTCAATAGTTGACCTTTATGTAGGTTCGTGTGTGTGCGTGTGTGTGTGTGTGTGTGTGTGTGTGTGTGTGTGTGTGTGTGTGTGTGTGTGTGTGTGTTGTGCCTCTACTGGGGCTTGAATTAAGAGCCTTGGGCTCCACTCTTGCTTAGCTTTTTTCACTCAAGACTGGTACTCTATCACTTGAATCACACTTCCAGTTCTAGCTATTTGCTGGTTAATTGCGCATAAGAGTCCCATAAACTTTTCTGCTTGGGCTGGCTTTGTTCCTCAATTCTCAGATCTAGCGCCTGAGTAGCTAGGAATACAGTATAAGGCACCAGCACCCAGTTTCATTATGCTTTTACCAATGCATTTCCTATATCATATTCATAGCTTATAGTTGAACATTTTCTTGAGGATCCAGTCTTTTTCTTGAAGTTTTCTGGCAACTCTAAAGTTTTGTCATAGTGGTGATTTGGTTTATAAAATTGAGTATCACTGAAATAAGACTCTAAGATGAGAATATATAGCTTGGCAATGAATATTTCCCTACAAATTAGGAGGATAATGAGAAGTGAGTCAAAATGGGGAGACTCAGAAATTAGAAACAAAAGTATGAAGCAGAACTAGAGTCTCCTGAACATGTATGTATAGCTTTTTACCAATTTCAAATAGTTACTTGAGTGTTCATTCAGTTCTATTTTAAGAGGCCAGAATGAAGACTATATCTCATATTTTGGAAAACATGGAGAATAAACAAAAATCAGAAAGGCTTTGGTTTAAGAATGGTCCTTACCACAAATGAGCCATGTTGGACCTGCACAAGTTGCTCTTCGATGTCTGTATTCTCATACACATAATCTTAACAGCATTTAACTCATTAAGTGGCTGAAAGAACTGAACAAGGCAATGTAGGTAAAGGTCTTTGTGCACCTGCCTGTGGCAAGCGCCTTATAATTATTAGTAATGCATAGTGTTATAACAAGTCACAAATGATCTTTTAGGTCTTTCTACCAAGGCCTTTCTTTGCTCACTTATCTCTCTACTACTCTTAGAGTTCTTGCTGGGTCCCATCAATAATACTCTCATTAGCATTCTTGGTAAACTTTCTCATCTGTCCTTGAACCATAGGTACCAAGTACCTCTCACCTGACTCCCTAACTGGGTGACACTGCTGAAGAGGATTATATTCATGACTACAAGAGAGGTAGGAAGTTGTATTCAATAAGAGACGTTTTAAAGGTTATTCATTAAATGGGATGGCCTAGCTTACATTAGACTCAAGCAATTTGAAGTTCTTAATGAATAAAATCAAGTATTAACTTGTATTTAATCATGACACTATTGAAAACCAGCTGGGACCTCAAAAAGACCCCAAAAGGCTAGGGTTTTTTTAATCTATAGCAATCATGAAGGAGCAAGGTGAAGTTTATCCGGTTATTCTAGGTCCTGGGTAAGGTCCTATGTGTCTCAGCTCTTTGGTGCCTCCAGGCAGAGGCCTTCACAGGAAATTATTCTTTCACTGACAGTTCCAGCTAGCTGCTATCAATTTCACTTTCACTGTCCATGCCAGCTTTACTTTTGCTACCACCTCCATAGCTCCGGTCATCACCACCTCCAGGCCAATTGGGCTTCCACAGAGCTGCCCTGGTACTGTGGCTCCTGTTGCCATGGGAACCCCTTGATGGTCTGCTGTTGCCCTGCTGCAATACTGCTTCCTTCCTGACTGACGTTGGTGCCACTTCTCTTACCACCATTGCTTCTTTTCTTCTTTTTCTTTTGTTACCAGCTCAGCCAAGTCAGGCAGGCAAGATCACTTTAAAGTCTTCGTTGGGACCTAATTTTGCAATACCAGGGGGAGCAGCACAGGAGGATGTCACCCAGTGTCCACAAAGTGAATTGAGCAGTCTACTTACACAAAATAAGAAGGAAGTAGAGATGGCAAGGGTGTCTGCCCCTTAAAAATAATAGGTTGACTCTTCGGGTCTCTTTGGCTCCTGCCGCTTGCTGCTCCGGCCCGCGCCGCGCGTCGCCATGCCTCGCAAAATCGAAGAGATCAAAGATTTCCTGCTCACGGCCAGGAGGAAGGATGCCAAATCTGTCAAGATCAAGAAAAACAAAGACAATGTGAAGTTCAAGGTGCGCTGCAGCAGATACCTGTACACCCTGGTCATCACAGACAAGGAGAAGGCAGAGAAGCTGAAGCAGTCCCTGCCTCCAGGTTTGGCGGTGAAGGAGCTAAAATGAACCAGACACAGATCGGAACTGTACATTAAAACCTTGAAAAGTCAAAAAAAAAAAAAAATAATAGGTTGAGTTTGCAGCAACTATGGCAGTCCCTTATGCAAATGAAGCACTGCTCAGTAAGCACACCTCTTCTGTTAGGCCACTAGCAGGCCACTTCTGCTAGTGGCCTTCTCTCATCTGGGTAGAAATGGAAGCGAGATCATTTAGAGTTTGCCAAGATTTTAATGTCCTGCACAAGTTGTTTTCTGAGACAGTGCCTTCAGGAGCCAGAGCTGTGCTTCAATGCGTAGCTTCCTCACTGAATCCATGGAGTGAGCAAAGAAGCTGATGCTGGCATGAGGGCACTCAGACTGGCTGCTTGGCCCATAGTCCTTCACTAGAAAGTAGCCAGCACCCCAGGAAAGAGTCTAAGAGCTGTCAATTAGAGGATCAAATTGTCCCACCATCAATATCTCAGCACATTCAAAGAGAAGATGAACATTAAAAGATATGCTTACAATAGACATTTTAATTGACATTAACAATGTTATAGTAGTATTTTATAGCTCTCTAGCTCCCAGTGACCCACAGGAAAAAGGGAGTGCTAACATTGATAACTATTTTCTGTTCTCTAAACATTGACAGACTTTTACCTCAACACACTATTCTTTTTCTTTTCTCATCCTTTTGTCTTTTTTTTTACGTTTTTTTCCTTTACTTTTTTATTTTACAAAATTACTGAGTTTTTGGTACCAGTGTAATCAAGTACTTATTCCTGACAAAAGATCCTGGATTGTAAGATGAGGTTATGTCATAGTTTGATCACTGTATAATGTCGAATTAAAACTGGGGACATAGAATATTAGCCTCATTTATTTTTTCTCTTTTTGTAACCAATTGATTTTGCTACTGTCTTTAATTGCTGCTCCCATTTTTCATTTGATGTTGTTTATATGTTTTGATTGAGAGGATTACTTGCAGAAGATGAGTCACTTAAACTGCTTCGAGGTGAAGACCAAATAATGAGATCCTCATTATGGATATTACAGAATCCAGCAGAATATGAATGCAATGGGAAGCTGCAGATATGTGCACGGTGATAAGGCCTTGCAACCCAACGCTCTACATATCACTCACTGCAGCAGGTCTTCCTCAGAAGAGTCTGATGGCTGTAGTTGTTAGCCAGGTCTAACAATTAGGGGGTGATACTGTTCAAAAAGAAACATACTCAATACCTGACTTAACCCCACTTTATATCACCTTTACAATAAAAAAAAATAAAAATAAATAAAAAGGACAAAACTTTAAACATGACACAACGGTAGTTACCTTTGGCAACTGTAAGCCTTATTGAAGAACTTTGGGGTGCTGAAAACTATGCCTTATTGCACTGTAATTTGGGCATTAAAAATCAAGGCACTCTGATTTTCTATACATAGGCTGGCAAGAACTTCTTCCGATGTTATTATATTCTATACTAAGAATATGAGATAAACATCTCTGTGTGGTGACTTAGATTTCTCAGGAAGGGATAGTGATATACATAAATATTTTGAAGTTATTTAAGTTTTCATTCTATTGTCCAAAACACAATTTTCTTTGACATTCACCAGTATAGGATCAGGGCCACAGATAAAGCCAATATAGGCATTTCTCAGAAAAAAAAATCACTTTTTCCCAAATACATATCATAGTTATAAAATGTCCCAATGGCCCAATTCTTGGAGAGACTATGATTTTCATACTGAGAAATTTGATTTTCTGAAAGCATGGACTGTCAGAAACATTGCTGTTTGAAATCACTTCACTGAGACTAGAACATCCGACTGTTGTCTGGAGGGGCTGAGACATTGTGACTCAGCAAATTAGCATTGGTTCCTATGTGCAGAGCTTCAGGTAGGGCCTCTGTGGACACATTTGATATCTTCATTTTGATTCCATGGAAACAGGTCCTGTTAACAGTCTAGAGATGATGCTGACTCCTTTCACTTCCACTTTGCATTTGCACTGCTCTTTAACTCCACTCAAAATATGCTTTTTTCATTTTGATAAATATTATTTTACATGAGCAAAAGCATAGCTCAAAATATTCTTCCTTAACTCTATTTTTCTTCATCCGGTGACATACACTGCTCTAAAAACCTGGTAGTTTTTCTATAGATTTGCCCTTGGTAGTTATGAGCTGATCTGGCCAGGACAAGATGATATCTCATTGTTAAATCTTTCTTGTAAGTATAATTATATATATTGTGTTCCATAAGAAATGTTACCTGAAATGTGGTCCCTGAACACAATGCTAATTCACAATGGTGAGATCAGGCAATAAAGGTTATTGATTTTGCCAGGCAAAATGAAGACTGCTTGAATTGTTATGTTAGAAGGAAGCACAGTTTTAGTAGGTATGGGGAGAAGGATAGTTTTTACAGAATACCTAGGATCAATGGACTTCCAGATGTCTGTGGGGAGCTGTGACTTTCTGCTGGCTATTGACCATGGATTGCTTATCTCTTCCTATGCTGGTTTTAGACTGCAGAGTTGTATTCCTTGTCCTGAATGTGCTTTCATCTTCCTATGCAGAAAGATAAGGAGAGGAATGTGGTGACCTTGCCTGGAACTGTAATGACATTCTTGAGTTCTCCCACACAGAGGATTGGAAGTGAGAAATAGAAGACTAAGAAAAAGAGGAAAAAAGATGCCACCTTTTAAAAATATGTGTATTTGAAAGTAACCTGGTTATTGTTAAAACTGCAATTATGAGCATATTTCTGTCATTGTTCCATAAGCAGAAATAACAATAGATTACAAACAAAAAGATGTGTATGGCATAAAAGTTCCCAAAGCAAAAACAGGAACTGTTTCTCTTTCATTCTATTGTAACACTAAGGCTGTGTCTCTTGAACAATGGTCAAAATATCTTTTTTCAGCTGAATCCTGGTGGCTCACATTTGTAATAGCTACTCAGGAAGCTGAGATGACAGCTAGAAAATTTCATGAGATTTCTATCTCCGATTAATCAACAAAAAATAGAAGTGGTGGTGTAGCTCCAATGATGAAGGGTGCCAACCTTAAGTAGACAAGACAAGCAAAAACATAAAGCCCTGCTCAAGCTCCAGTATCAGCACACATTTCTAGATACAAAAATAGGCAGACAGACAGACAGACAGACAATAATTTTCCTTTGCAATATAACTGAGCAAGGGTTAGTGACAATGACATCTGAATCACTTGAAGGATACTGAATTTTTTAAAATAATTATGAGCCTCCATCACTTACTTCCTGGTCATTACCCTTGACCTAGGTTCTTTATTCCTCTTTTACTAAGAAGCAGTCATCTTGAAGCAAATATAACCAAATATACACTACCACACTATTCCCCTCCTTGTAACTGCAGCAACATGTCCTTACTACTGATGTCTTCATGCACCTAACAAAGGTAATTCCCTCTGTTTTTGCACTCAATCCTCCCATGTGTGTCCATTGGAGGACAGTATTGTAGTAACTCTCTTGTTTCTGTTTGCTAGGAGCAAACTTCCAAGGTAGCCCATTGATCCTCAGCTCCTGACATCCACAATTCCCCAGAGATGGACATTGTGATGAAGACAGCCCAGCAGAGGCGGCAGCTGTGACTTCAGTGGCTAGGTCAGCAAGACAATGACTCTCTCACCTTAGCCCTTTCACCTCTGTGGAAAGCTAACACCAAGTTACTTGAAGAGCCCAGCAGCCCCACTGTAAGATCGCTGTGAGGAGGACCTGAGGTCTTCCTCGACATCCAGAGCAACTTTTCCAGGCTGTGAGTAAACCCTATAGACAGGATTCTATTTCCTTAGATGATCTCCAGCCTCTAGGCAGCAGCTCCTAAATTCTTGGCCCACAGATACTAAGAGATAACCAAATCTTAGTGTCTTCTCTTGCTACCATTACATATTTGCATTCATTACACACAAAAACAGATGGCTGACTGTGGTTATATGACTCCAGTGATTATATGATTTTATGATTATATGGTACCAGTGAGTCCCCATTTCCCTCTGAGGAATAACTAAGTCCTTTCAGAAACTACCAGTCCTCTCTCATGCTGCCCACAAACATTACCTATTGTAATGTAACTCACTCTTTGGATCACCTGTGTAACAACTAAAATCACATCTTTACCATTCCTCAGATCACCACAGGGCCTCTGTCCTCCCCACATGCCTCCTTCAGGTCTTTCCTAAGTGAATATTCTCCCTCAGTGAGGCCTGCCCTTCCCTTCCTCTCCCTCTCTTCCCTCTCTCGTATTCTCATTCTCTCTCTCTCTCTCTCTCTCTCTCTCTCTCACTCTCCAACTCTTCATCTTAATTTCACTTTGTTCTTGGAAATTTTCCTAGGGTCCATGATGTGATATATTTTTTCTTGAAAAACTGTGTTAGGATAATGTAGTTAGCTGAATTTTATTAATGGCTTTTGGTTCCCAATAAATCAAAATGAATAAAATGACACGGTCAGATTAGTACATTGTCAACAGTGTGAAATGAAAGACTTCACCCACCCACAAGGCAGATATTTTCAAAATGAAGCCTTGGAAGCCTGGAACTGGAATGGTAGCATGCACACACTTGACTGGCCTCATCTGTTCACCTCAGAGCTGTAACAGTAACAGAGTGGGACATGCCACCTGTGATGGGGACATCTGGGTCCACAAGTAAGAAAATCCTGAACTGCTGTATGCTTCTGACCCATGGAGGATAGCAGAAATGGCTCCTCTATGGCCTCCCCTTCCCACGATGCCATTGGAGACTTTCCTGAGTCAGATATCTGAATGGCAGTGCCATCTCAAGATGTCATCCTATCTCTCAGCCTCATGAACAGTGACAGGGATCAGATTTGTAGGACCAACACAGGGCAGGAAACATCACCCAGTCTCCCAAGAGGAAAGAAAGTCCACTTGCACATAACTGCAAGACTTTTTCTGGCATGTGGGAAAGCAAAAGATACAACTTAAGTGGAAGAAGATTTGTTGATGTGCCAGGCAAAGCAAGCAGTCACTATGTCAATGGAGTAATTTAAGTTAGTCACCATGAAGAACCAAAGAACACTTT